GCAAAAACTCGGCTGCCTAATTTATGGCGCACTAAATGAAAAAGCCCCCAAAAGTGCATTTTAAGTTGCGATTCGAGTGGAGAGTCTCGTGGAGTGGCCCAGTCCCAGGCCCAGGCTTGCTCTGATCCGGCCAATACAGTTAAAGCGTCGAGGCATGGCGTGAACCCAGCCCAGCCCAGCCACAAGGGGACAACCGGACATCGGTGTGTTTCACATTTCGTTGCATTTGGTAACTGGACGATTCGCTTCGAATCGATTCGATTCGGTTCGCTTTGATTCGATTTGATTCGATTCATGCACTGTTTTTTTTTTTTTTGCGGCGCTCAAGATCCGAATGGGTTGGGTTCAGCCGGGCAGTCGTTTACTTTGCTTTTGCGGTTTTGCTGGCCAAAGTGCTTAATCAATTGGAAATAGTATGTGGGCAGGTCCTAGGGGCAATGCGACGCCTTTAAAGGCGCTGCCCGTACACCAAGTCGTCCTTTTCTTGGCTGCGGAAATTTCCCAACAAATTTGTGAGCTATATTCTCGTATGTACGTCTGACCAGCGTGTAACAGCCAAGCAGACCAGGAGACACCAAGCTGGCAGACAGCCTGCATACTGCGGCCTGTTCTCGATCCTGGACGGGCAACTGCATGCGCTTCCGTTAAGGAAATTACCAAACAACGCGCGCTTCCGGCTGATATGCGACGCCTGCGGAGCTGCTGTCTCCTCTGGCTGGCCCTCTTGCTGCCCCATCGCCTCGCACAGCCATTTGCAGACGTCCTCGTCGCCGGTCTCTGGATTACAAAAGCACAAAAATGAAGTAAAATTAATGAAATGCCTAGCAGCATGCCATGTTCTTTATCCCACTGCAACGGCAGTTGCCTTTGTTGCGTGTTCATTTGATGGCGCCCGGGGATTTGCAATGGGCTCTGTGCTGGGATCCTCCCATTATAGCCGGCGCAACGCGCGAGCTGTTTTTCTAAATTAGGTCTACTTTTAATTGTTGACAGCTACTGGCTAGATTAGATACCAATCGGCGCTCTATTCTCTGCTTAAATGTTAGCCCTCAAACCTTAAGTAGACAGTACTAATGACAATAATTCAATTAATAATAATAATTATAGATAATGATACTTAAGAAAGTTATGATAATTACAATACAAAAACCGATTTAAATTAAATAAATAGAAAATAAAAGTAATTTTTCAAGAAAGTAATCAATAGAGCTATTTGCCAAGTTTAAGGACTTTAGCTCGTTCTCAAAGGAGATTGTTGTGATCATTTGATATGAAGCCAAAATAACATTCTTTATCTTTATTTCTAAAGAGTACCATTAAACTCTGTCTTAATTTGTGAAGACAGTATAAAATAAAGGTCTTCTACATATTGCATGTTAATTGGAGGTAATTAAGAAATTTATAATCTTGTCTAAGCAAACATTCCTTGCGGATAATATACTTAAGCATATATGGGACTCATTAGAAAGGGAAAAAGAGATTTCCCCATAAACAAATACAACTCCATCCGCTGCGATATTCTGTTCTCAGCCACAACTACAACTGCTCTTAACTTTTCCACGCTTTACTCGTTATCCGGCTCATCATTTTGGTTATTTTAATCATAATTTCAAATATAGTCGACTGCACGCGAAGGGGGATGCTGCTGCTGCTGCTGCTGCGGTTGCTGCATTGAAGCCAAGTGGCAGAGGTAAGTTTTGTGCTGTACCGGATTCAGACCCAGAAATGCTTTACTTTGCAAACTCATCAAAGTTGAGTTGCCTACAAGCAGCAAGGAGCGATGAGTTAGTGGGCGGGATTGGGGCTGGTGAACGCCAGTCACTCAGCATATGAACACAGTGATACGTAGGTATACAAACGGGTTTTTATCTATATATATATATACTTATATATATATATAGGTATATAAATGAAATATTTTTGGCAGTCGCTACTTGCGGGAGAGAAACACCATAAGTTGTCTCGAATTTGTTTGCCTTCTTGCTGAATTTTCATTTCAATTTTCTTGCTGCAGTTTTATTTAATCTCACTTCAGGTGCAACGAATGCGTTCGAGTGTTTGCTCTGCCGGAGTGTGTTTACACTGTCGGTGGCGTTTTGTGAAATGTATGTGGCTTAGCTACACTCGCTCTTTCGAATGTATTCAAGGTTTCTTTATTTTTATACCCTTGCCGTTGGCATTTTTTTATTGTCACGGAATACCATCTATAACGCAAAGTGTGCCTCATGAAACTTTACATAGAAACGTCAAGAAAAGAAAACAAGTTGTTTATTATGGAAAATTCTTAAGTTTTTTAACATATTGTAGGTCAACTATTCTCCTTAAATATCTGAAGGAAATCAAGCTTTCGATAGCCGAAAGGGTATTTGATGTTCTGCGTGCCGAAGACTATTTTTATTTATTTCAATTTTGTTATACCAAAAATGGGAATTAGTTAATTTGTGCTGTTTGTTGCCTTCAAGTATACATCCGCATATTTCTCAATTTTTAAATTGTTTTCAATGCAAATTAATTAGATAAATGTTATGTCTGAAGCAATGGAGACGTAGTTCCTACTTAGAGCTGTGCAGAGTCCGACTTGGGTTTTGGGCCGAGATCATTTCTAATAACGCTGGCCAAGAACTTTGTCTATTACTTTGCCATTGTTGCCGCTGTTTGGCGTTGCAATGACAAAAGTTTAGCAAACAAAACTGTTTTTCCCAGCGCCCAGGGGCTGTGGGTCGATGACGATGACGATGACGATGGCGTCGGGTTCGTTTCCGTTTCCGCTTCCTGCTCGCCACTTAGAAGGCGTTCGAGGCAGACTCGAGCACCTTTTTCTTTGCATATTTGTTTTGAAAACTTTTCAATTGCTTGCTGAATTTTCACACAAACAAGAACGCACTCACACAAAATGGGGAAAACAAGGCGCCAAGAGAAAGGAATGATAAGAAGAGGGAGAGAGACAGAGAAGACACACATGCACACAAATCGTCATTGGTTTTTTTTTTTGTATTTGGTGTCCTTTTCTCTCATTCTCGGCGCTTTGCACTTTTCATTTGGAGTTCGTTTTTGCCTTTTGCAATTTGTTCCCAATTGATTTCAAACACTTCAAATTTATTGGTTTTCAAAAACTTTACGAATTTTATTGTTTCCGCTAATTCTTTTGTCCAGCTCGGCAGACGCAGCCGGTCAGAGACAAACAGCCAGGCATTCAACAGTCGGTCCAAAAACACAACTCTAGTTGCTGCCATTTGGCCAAGAGAATCTGGGCTGTGCGCTGTGCATCCTTTCAGCTATGAAAATGGCCACAAGATATATGCAGCAAAGTTAGGCCGGATATGAAAGTCATTGAAATGAAGCACTATAGAAGATACTTGGGATTGGGTTTTATGTAGCGTTTGTTTTCAAAGTATGTGCACTTTGCAAAATGCTTATGAGAAGAGTTTCAGTTTCGCATTAATTACCCAAAAGCATGCGTGTGCTTTCATTTAAAGCAAAATCTATTCCCTCATTGCGCTTAAATAACAGATCGTTTTAGCAAACACTCAAATTTATTACAAAAAGCGTTTAAAATACTTGGTTTTGTCCAGCTTGAACAGTTTTAACATACACATATTCATCTCTTTAGGTAAAACACAGACCAACTGCGACGGGTCGAAGGTTGAATAGGCGAAGAAGTGTCTATGCTCATTTGCAAAGAGCATTAAGAAAACTTATTTGAGACGTTAAGACTTTCCGCAGAATCCAGCTCTTCGGTGGAAGCCGGGGGTCACACATATTTTTAAAGCTTTTGGAAATTCCATTTGAAACTGTGAAAAATTAGACTATTGACAGTTGTTTTCTTTGCAATCCGATAGGCTGTATATTATTTGTCTTTTCAAATATCTTATTTTTTTTAGAAATTTATTAAATATTTATAAAATTAATTTTTTTAGTTAAATACATCCATCAAGACTGGAAAATGCGTTGCAATGATTGAATGACGGAAAATGTATGTTTCGGCTTCAAGCTTCTATTCAGAGGAATAAAATGGGCAGAAAATGTTGATTCTAACTTTTTGGTTTTGCTTTTGATGGACTTCAAACTCATATTACAATACTTATATAATATGTAACTTTGTACGAGCAGAAAATGGTTGGAAAGCCGAAAGCTTATCTTAAATATCGATTTAGCCTCTCGAAGTAGGTGGGCAGACTTACTTATATGTTCTTTAGCATACTTTATTTGTGATCCCTGACCTTCAAAATAATCGTATATAAAACAGTACAATCATCTTAGCTTCCTTCCATAGACAAAGTCTTCAAACTAACTCCTATTTCTTAGGACATAGGAAGAAGTATTTCAGGAGTTCAAAATTTTTAAGTATACTCTAAAAAAACCAGAAAGAACGGCTATATTTGTTACGCCAAAGATAATATACCCGGGCAGAATTATGACTCAAGGATAAGTGACGAAAATGTATTCTCACAATATGGAAGGTCTGAATTGCTAATTTTGCTGAAGATATCTTGAATATCAAGCAACTTTTATATATGAGGAGAAAAGTGAAACTAATAAATGCCAAATTTAATCAAGTTATCTGAAAAACCAAAGAAGATCTTAAGGAAGAGAAGAGATGACTTTTTACTGCTAAAATCGGGATTTTAAACTTTAACGCAAAAAAATATGGAAGTCATGACAAGATAGATTAGTATAATATAATAATATTTAATAGATTAGTATAATAGTGTAGTAAGTGTAAAGAAATAAGCTTTGTAAATTTTTATGTAACCATAAGTTACTAAGGCGAGACAACGAGAGCTATTCTCATAAATGACGAATTGTGATCCATATAATTTATAGTTATTGCAATAGTTATTCAACAATTTGGCGCGCTTTTTGGTTGTTTTCTCATCAGCTGATGGGAACCTTTGAGCATGGAACTGCGCATGTCCTTTGTGCAGGCTCAACTGCATGCGTCCTGTTGTTTTCTGGTTGCTGAGAGAGCAGCGAGAGCAGGAGAGCGCGAGTCCTAACAACTTGACTGTTTTGACAGTTGGCATAACGAACCAGTCGAACATTTACCGAAAGCGTGAAAAGTGTTAAAATCTTTGTTAAAGTCAAGTGTGAATAGTTTCGACTCTAACTTAAAGCTAAGTGTGTGAACTGTTCTGAAAAATGCATTAAAAAGGTGAAAGATGTGTTAAGTCTAGAAAGTTCATGGCAGAGGCCAAAGCTTAGCCACAATATTGCCTTAAGGACAAGTTGACATCGTCCATTGCCATTTAATTTAGCGCAAGATTTGGTGAAAAAAGTCATCAATAACTAAAAACTCTCGCTTGCATTTCGCTGTACAAAGTCAATATCAGAATCTAAGAAAAGTGTTGCACGGAATTTTATTGATTTTTCCTTTTTGACTGGCCAACAAGGAGAACTGTCAGGCAGCACTCATTCTCATTCACCTCCTCTCTCTCTCTCTCTCTGCTCTTTCTCTCCCGTATCGCGTTTCTCTCTTTTGCCGCTTTTGGCGTTTTGTTTTGCTAAGCGCGTTCATTGCCAATTTTGTTGCTAATCAGCTGTCCAATTGGTTTGCCTTTTCAGTTGCCACGATAGAAAATGCCATGCCAAATGCCAAATACTTAGAAACAAGCGCAAGCCCATTTGCCAAGCCACCCCCACAATATCCACAAGTGTCCAAAACTAAACGCGTACCAACTGACCCACCACCCAAACCCTACCGTTCTCCGCCATGTTAGGCAGCAGGAGCCCCCCAGCGTACAAGCCACTGACAACCGGAACGGGGGGCTCCGCCAGCGCTTCCTCTCTCAGTTCCAGTTCCAAGTTGGCGACCAGCAGCTCCCAAGGCGGCCATCCCTACCAGCAGGCCTACGTGGGCCATTCCCACGCCTGTTACCACCATCAGCAGCAGCAGCAGTCGCATCCTCATCATAGTCATCATCATTCCCACGGTCACGGACAAGGGAGCCGCACCTCTCTGACGCCCACCATGAAGCGCGGCAAAAAGAACTGGGGCAGTCGGGAGAGATCTAGCATGAGTTTCCTGATTGTAATTCTCTTCTTTGCTGTCTTTGGCCTCATCATACTGACCGAGGTAAGTTCAAGAGTTGGTCTGAAGAAAAGATAGAACTACTCTCTTCGGAGTGCCGAAGATTTAAAATTCTTGTTTTATACAGGAAAAAAGTGAAAAAAAGTGTTTTATATGACAATTTTCACAGCCTAGGACTGAGAGAAGAAGACTTAGAGTTTCTTTACGAAATACGCAGAAGACAATATTTTTAAGTCGGGTCTTTGACAAAAGCTCTCTAAACTTTATAGAAGAAAGAATTGCCAACTCCATTAACTACATAAATATTCTTGATCATGTGACCAGGTCAATCGATCTTGGTAACTACAAAAGCTATGAAATTGAATGAAATTTACAGGAGACATATGTTCCTTTGCCATATGCAGAATGAGTTTATCATTTATCATAAAATGCTTAGATTATATGGTTAGGCTCACAGGGTGATAAAATTAATATTTATTATTTAAAATTGTAGAACTAGAGATTAGCCCTGTTTAGTTGCAACATTTTGTATTCAATAATAAAAGACTAGCTCATTTAAAGAATTGAGGAAATATTTAAACAAATGAATAAGTCGCTGGTCATAAAATATGCATTCAACAATTACAACATTGTGTTTGCTGTGGGCTGGGTTGGGCGCGGATTTATGATTGCAATTAGGATGCATTAAAAATGCAGCGTGCAATTAATTACAAGACCAGACGTTAATTAAAATGCTAAAAGCGCAGCTAGAAATTAGCCTCAAATTTAAGCAGCGCTTCTTCTATGCCTTTAACCCATTGACTGTCTACTTTGTTTTCCACTTTTGCCTCGTGATGCAGGTTTTTATGATCGACGAACGCTCCCACAGCGGCTTGATGGCCATGAGGGCAGGCGGCGGCGGCGGTGCCAGCCTGGGCGGCCGCCTGGGCGACGCGATGCCGGATTATGATAATGTTAAGGTAAGTTTTGTTATGCAAATGTGCTATATAAGTATGTGCGATGCCAGCGCGTTGCCAGCCAAATGGTCAACAATTGTTGTTGTTGTTGGTGTTGCACCTGCAACAATGCGCCTGCAGGAATGGGGCGTGACAGCTTAACTATTGCGCCCATTTTTATGGTCTCCAACTCTTTGCGAGCGCGTGGGAAAACAAAAGATGTTGCCGTTCGCCATATTTCGCAGCATACTTTTCGGCTTGCAGGAGGCAAAGAGATTTGCATATTTAAGCAGCCCAGCATAGCGCATAGCGCATAATGCATATGATTTACTTTTTTGTGGCAAACGCAAACAAAAAGCTGATTTATTTGCAACCAAGCGCACCGCAATGCACTTAGCTGACTTATGAAATCATGAGAGCCCCCATAACCCCTAAGCTGACAGTTTTGATATCTGAACGGCATGCACGCTGCGCAAAGGCATATACCAAAAAAAAAGTAGTATGACAGTTAGCTTACTTTTTAAATATCTGCGACTGCTAGGCTTAAGTGAAAGGAAAACTCAGGGTCTTCATGTCCATGGTGAATCTAATCCGGACGGTAGGATACATGTCAATAAAAAGGTTATAAGTCGGATAGTTTCATTGATGATATTTGCCAAGCAGATTAATCAAACCGCATGGCAATGAACATGTTAAATTTATTAAGATTAAGATAAAAACCTAACATTTAGTTAAATAAATCAAATTATCTTATTAATAAACTTATTTTCATTTATGCTGTCTCACTGATTAATTCTGATTCTAATTGATACATGTTTGAGACTGATTAAATTTATTTTTAATAGAATATAAAGTTATGCAAGTGCTTTGGCACTGGTTTAGCTAACTGAATATAACTTTTATAAATGCACATTCTGCTGACCGTTTATTAAATTTATATTTTGATTGGCAATCAAATTGTGCTTGCAGGATGACTACGAACTGGATGACAGCATTCTGAGTGATAATAAATTAGGTTTTATACAGTTTCGTGACAATAAACTTAAAATTCAAGGTAAGTAGCAAATGGCAATCAGAGACACACAATGGCATAGCCATTTGGTGCCCATAATGCAATCAGAGACAGCCATCGCTATGATAACAAAAGCCGGCCAATACAACGAGGAGGAGACATTACGTATACGTCATGTATCTCATGCGATTCGCCATTTCACAGATGCCGCAGGCGCCGACGGCCAACATCCACGCTATGCGGGCATGCTGCTCAATGGCGCTGCTGGAGCCGGAACTGGTGCTGGGGCTTTTGGCGTGGGTGTCGCTGGCGCTGGCAACGGCCTGAACATGCCGTTGATACCCTGGGGCCAGCTGCTACCCGACAAGGTGGAGGAAACGTTGCCACATTTTCCATTTGGCACAGCGCCCAGCGACGGCGCCTGGCAGGTTGTCAATGGGACCCGCTTCAAGTTCTTTGTCTACTCCGCCTACTTTGATCGCCGCGACGGGGCACGCCTTGTACGCGTTATTGGCGCAACCAAAACACGTGGACCAGAGCGCGTCTGGTGCAGGTTCTGGTATGGTCCCACGACTCACAATAGCAGCGAGGCGTCGACCTCGGTAGCACGTGCCAAATACACCTCAGCGACAGTAATGGCCCGTGTGAAGGTGAGTTCAACCAGCTGACCGACTTATTGTTGATCTAGTTTGCACATTTAATATGCTGCTTCCATAGGAAAAATACTATAGAAACTAAACTAAATGGATTAGGTAATTTTACTTAATAAGCTAGTATTGTAGGATACAGAAAGCATCCAACCTTCGTGTGTAACAGTTCTGCACTGGGAAGCCTGACTATAAGCGGATCTATTTATTGTTTATTTATGTCTACAATATAAATCAACACAACTTTAAATCCTAAACTGCAAATATTCCAATGTTCATACTCCACGACGATCCTTCCATAATATTTAATCCGATATTCGTGATTTTAGGACTCCAGGAAAGTGCCTTCTTTTGCTGTTCCTTATGACGGCTGTGCCTTCCATGTGACACTCACTAGATAGAAAGCGATGGAATAAATTACTGACTAACTGATTGATTAATCATTGATTGATTCATAAAACTAGAGGGATATATATTTAAATATATTTAATTACTTAATGCGTTTAAGGGCACTAAACGCCAAACCATGAACAAAGAGTTATGGGGGTGGGAAATTTTGACGTATGTCTATGTAGGATAATGGCGGGTATACCCCGGCATTGGGATAAATTCCGTTAAACATCTTTGAAAAGATCTTAAAAATTAATTTGAGCGCGAAGCGTCACCCATCAAATTTGTTGCCCCTATTTCCACAAAGCAGAAATAAATTTTTAGAAGAGTTTTTAACAACCGTACATTGAAATTGAATTGAGGAAACCCGTACTCATTCAATCCTTAGGTAGGACCTTAAAAATCAGTTTGAGGCCAATTGAATGCAAAACAAGAAAGTTGAAATGTGCCGGGCCTAATCTATTTTAGATCATTCGCGAAAACTGGAATCTAAAGTACAGCGCATGTTTTGTTTTGTGTCCGGTGCGTGCCCCACCGTTGGATGTGCCGCAATATGTCAGCGTTGTCTCCAGATTGCGGGCGCCGCCCGGCAATTTGATAACGTTGCGAAACACGGATCAGGATGCGGACTTTGCACCGCCACCGAGCAATAGTAGCGCCAATGGCAATGGCAACGGCAACGGTAATGGCAATGAAAATGGGAATGGCGGTACTCGTCCAGCTCCGCCGCATGCACCACCCAGCGGCGAGGGAATACCTGACCGGATGGCGGTTTGTGTGAAACCGTTTCACTTTAGCTACGATCAGGCGCTGTATCTGATGGAGTATCTGGAGTTCTATGCGTTGTTGGGCGTCTCGCACTTCACCTTCTACAATCATACGCTGGGCCCGCACGCCTCCTGTGTGCTCCGGAGCTACCAGCAGGGCCAGGTGCCGGGCAACCTGACAGCCTTTGACTGGGAGCCGCTGCAGCCGGCGGAGGCGGCCACCAATGCTACGCCGCGTATCCTCAAATCGCTGCACTACCAGCGGCCCACGGTAAGCATACTGCCGTGGAATCTTCGCATGCGCTCCCAGAAGGAAATACGCACTGAGGGACTCTTTGCGGCGCTCAACGATTGCCTCTATCGGACCATGTATCGGTACAAGTATCTGGCGCTGGTCGATCTGGATGAGTTCATAGTGCCGCGCTACACGGACACGCTTAACGACCTGTTGAGGTGAGTCTAAACTTGTAGTGGGAATACCCTGGATATTCTCTGATACATTTCTTTTGACAGTTCCCTCAATCAGCGGTTCCGCAATCGCAACACTGGCGCGTACTCCTTCCAGAATGCTTTCTACTATCTCCAGTTCGCAGACGATCCCCTGGCCAGCTCGGGCATATCGGGTGGCAGCGATCAGCTGGGCAGTGTGCGCGCCTCCCTGGTAACACAGCGCAAGACGCGCAGGTGAGTTGGCCTCGCCCAAGTGAGATGACGTGTGTCTCAACCCCTCTATTCATTCAACAGACGCTACAAGTTGCATCCACAGAAGCAGCGCTCCAAATATATTTGTAAGCCTGAGGCGGTGGTTGAGGCGGGCAATCACTTTGTCTGGGAGTTTTCGCCGGGCATGGGATCGCTCAATGTGCCGCCAAAGGAGGCTATACTGCAGCATTATAGGGTGAGTCAAGGTTTTAACTGAAACTTCTAATTATTCAGCTGAGCTTAAGGACATTTTTCGATTAAATTCATAAAAAATAACTTACGTTTTCGATTCCACAAAGTATTTAATTTTCGTATTAACAGCCGAGTCGATATAGGAATATATGAATGCATGTTCGTTTGTCTTAAAACATTCGTCCGCCCAAATCTGATATGCTACGTTCTAAAAAAAAACTGTGTAAAAAAGACAAAATTTGGTGATTGGTTCCTTAGATCTAAAATCGATTAAAATTAGTGAAAATCAACGATTTTTTGAGAACTAGCTTTCATGTTTATTTTATTAAATCACTTATGTAACGTGTAGTTATTATTAAAAAAAAATAAAAAAATATAAAGACTTTCTTAACCAAATAAGTCTGATTGCATTGTTGGCTCACAAAATATTAACATATTTTAATTGCTTTGACATGTATTTTTGCTGATATGCCCAAAAAGGGAATTCCCCTAAATTTGGGCTTGACTAGAAAATCTGCTTGTTTCCACAAAAAGGGAATTTCCCTAAATTTGTGATTTGAACATATTTCGCAAAACTAAATCCCAAAAGGTTTTAAATGTTTTTTGTTTAAAATAGTGTAAAACAATTTAAAATGTTTTAAATTTCAGCCGTGTCAAAACAGAATTAGGTGTATTTAGTTTTTAAGATATAGTGCTCCTTAGGCTACATTAAGCACAACTTTATTACTATAAAACTGCCTAATTAGCTGGCTGAGATGTGACAAAGAGAGGATGTGGCTGGATGATATGGTCATCTGGTCATCTGTGCCTCTAGGCTTTATCTTCCCTCCTTATGCTTATTTTTTATGCAGGTTTGTGAGTTTGGCGGCAACGATTGCATCAAGGCGCCCTCCATTTTGGATCGCACCACCACCAAGTACGTGAATCGCCTTGTGCAGCGCGTGGACGCAGTTTATCGGCACCTGCGCCAGCGTTGCGATCTGCCCGCGCTGCCGACACTGCCCAGACGCTCGAATGCCCAAACGGAGCAGCAGCACAACGAGAAGCCAAAGTTGCTGCAGCAAATGCGTGAATTGAATGAACTGAAGACGAAGGAGCAGGTCAAGGCACAGACGAGTGCCACAACGAAGCAACAGCAGCCAAAGACAGCGACAACGAGGCGTCCGCCAAATGGTCACAGCCAGGCACGGAAGCCGCTGGGTGCAAGCACCACGGCGGAGACGGTGGCAAGGACGACAACGCCGGCAGCAAAGCAAATGCAGCCTCCGGCGAATGTGCGCAAGAAACGCAAAATGATCGTCTTCGATCTGGATGAGATGGGCGCGCCGATAGCGCGCGTCGAATACCACTGAGGAGTGGATGGAATTGGCCAACTGGGTGGATTATTAGCAGCGAATAAAGCAGAGCTTGTATATTTTGAATAGGTTTTAGTGTTTCGGTTGTGCATCCGTGCGGTTGTTTCCATACATTTTGCTCAATTCCAGATCAGGGCGAGCATCTCTCTGGCGTATTACCATTTACAAAGTTCATCGAATGAATACAACGCTCATTATTCTTGAATTTCCCGAGATATTTCATCTAATTTATAAGCATAAATTTACGAACTACGAAACATTGGTCTGTTGTTTTGGTCAGCCTACAAATCTCAATATTCCTATGCAAAATTTGAAAAATTCCTAATATTGAAGTCAAACTGTTAGCCTAAGTTTAGTGTAAGCGTCCAAAAAGTTAAAATACAATCCCCAAGTACTGTTAGTTGTACGTATGCATTTTTAAATTATTAATTGCAAAATGTTTGCCGTTCATTTTTTCAAAAGATTTTTGAGCTAAGCACCAGAAACTGATAGAACCTACACTTAGCTAGACCCTTACTCGACTCGTATTTCGATCAAGTGACGGAGATACTAAATAATTAAACAATAAACATTAACGAATTTTTAAATGCTTCTAAATATCGCACATATTTGTATATTTTTTGCCTTCAACAGCAAACAGCAAACATAAGAAGCGTCTACTAGATATATAAAATATAAATATAACAAATATATACAAAGTAGTAATAATGCTCAGTAGTTGATAAGCAACAAGACACCCGATTATATGGGAATTGTTTTGAAAATAAATTACAGTCAATAAAATTGTGTGCAAAATTAAGAAACCGCTTAAATTGCTTTTTAATGGAGACTTCGTTTGCTATTGCAGTTTTTATGGGTACCCCTCAATTTTAGTGTAAATGTTCTAATAATGAAATAATGTTTATTACAGTTTTATAGCATATTTGTAAATAGTTTATTCTATAACCAATTTGTATTATAATACATTTGTATAGCAAATGTAAGCTTTTATCGACATGTTTAGCTAAAGCTCTTATAAATGCCTAGTATAACACATTTAGTATGCGCAAGCTGAGTGAAATACAAATGCAAGAAAGGCAATTGTACGCTGGTATAACAAAAAGTCCTGGGCATTATCACACTTCGTGGGCGCAAACTGGCACACACAACAGCTTTCTATTATAACAATTTTTGTTTTACGTGTTATACAGCCATAAATACAATTATGCTTTTTTATGGTATAAATTTCAAAAAGCCGCCCGCGTAGGCAAATATGCAGCTCAAAGGGGGAAATGAAAAAACTCGGAGAGTGGGGAAATTATAAGAGTTTATTATTTTTATATAAATACTTTAATTACTCAATATATAAGAATGCAGATGTAGATTGTACTGCTCGAATAGCTAGATACCACGTAAACATGTCTAAAGTCGATCGAACTAGAAGAAAAATTGCGATAGTTGAACTTTTATGTCGAAAACAAAAAAAAAACGTTGAATATGATAAAAGCTGACAGATGGGCAGATAAATACAGTTCTGCTCGTAACATTTGCACATATTTATAGTACCGTAAATTACCTATTGTGTAGAGTGTATGTACAAAAAATATTGTTTGAATATAGTTTTGTAACAGATACAAATGCGTCAGATAACTGTACTCAAATATTTGTGTGAATGCAGAAAATGCAAATATTTAATCAGTTGTTGGGAATTGTAATAAGTTTCAGTGACAAAAAACAATGAAAATCAATTAAACAATTTTCCAATTTTTTGCTAAATTCAACTATTTTCCAGTCCGAAAAACCCTTTATTATAACACTGCACATATTTTATTAGACCTATTTCAAATCAAATCAAAATCGATTTATTAAATTTATATAAGATCAATTCTGAGAAACGTAGCAGCTGCCAATAAATTTGCCAAGCTGCAGTCAAAGCAGACCAAGGGCTAACCAGTTCCCCCCGCAGCCCGATCTGAAACCCAGCAATTTTTAATATATGGCACACAAGGGATGGGGATGGAGGCCCCAAAAAAGAGATACCGGAAATGTAACAGGAAGCAAAATGACTTAATGCTCTGCGATTGCCATGCCAATGGTCAGACGATGGACACGGCTAAGGTTCCGGTCGGGGCAACAGGGATGCACTTAAGCAGGCCGCGCACGTGGCGCTTGGGTCAGCGAAAAACTGGTGAATGGCGTCATAATTGCAATGCGAACCAAATGGAAATGAATGCGTGCCATGTGAGGCGAGTGAACCGCACAGAAAATGCGACGCTGCATTCATAGAGAAAATCGACTGATTTTTGCATTGAGAAAAGGCATTTTATTGTGCTGATTTTAATGACCCACCACCAGGATTACGCTAAAGTGCTTTGATTCAAGGAATTGCATCAGTGCTTAAAGTTCGTCGGATTGCTATTCATTTTGCTGCTGTCCATGGTTATTTCATGGACTACGTGCTGGAGTCCGTGGGATCCGTTGATTCATCAGAGGGATCTGTTGAGTCATCAGCGGGCTGGGTTGTGTCCTGAGCAGGATCTGTTGTGTCATCAGCAGGATCTGTAGAGTCATCAGCGGGCTGGGTTGTGTCATCAGCTGCATCAGTTGAGCTATCAGCTGCATCGGTTGAGCTATCAGCGGCATCGGTTGAGCTATCAGCTGCATCAGTTGAGCTATCAGCTGCATCGGTTGAGCTATCAGCTGCATCGGTTGTGTCGTCAGCGGACTGCGATGGGTCAGCAGCAGGATCTGTTGTGTCAGCAGTTGGTTGTGCTGTGTCCTCAGCAGCATCCGTGTTATCTTCACCAGACTGCGTTGAGCTGGCCGTGGAATCCGTTGTGTCTTCGGCAGGAATCGTTGTGTCGTCAGCGTCAGGCGTTGTTGATGCTTCGGTTGCGTTTTCGCTAGGGTTGTCCTCAATGATTCCATCCAGATCCTTTTCGCATTTCAGCTTATCCTTGGCCAACTGCTTCAACAAGGAGGCAATATTTTTACTGGCGTACACTCCGGCCTTGATCAGCTTTTGGCTCTGCCTTATTAGTTTCTGCAGCTCATTCTTTGCATTGTTCAGCTTCGCGGCCAACCCCGCTGTGTTGGCTTGGCAGCGCAGTGCACTGATGGGTCCTATAAGACACTGGTTCATTTTGGCAATGAGTTCCCTGGCATATCGGGTGTACTCATTAATTCTATCATTGACCTGTTTCTCAAACTGACTTTTCAGGAGCTCGAAATTACGCAGGGTGCTGAACAGATTCTGGGTGTGGCGTTGGATTAGCAGCTTGATGAGACCGGTCGCCAGCGGCAGGCCAGCTCCATCGGTTGCATTGTTAACACGTTCCAGCTGCTGTTTTTTCCATTCCAATAAGTCGTCAATGGCCTCCTGGACTTGGTCGTTGAGTTCCTCGGCCAGCTTACTGTTTAGGTTGGAAAGTGCAGATTGTAGCTGGAAAGCCGTCGAATTGAGTTGCTTTAGCGCTGCGAGACCGTTGTTTAGTGCCTTTTTCTTGATGAGATTCTTTTCATCCTTGATCTTGCCTTCCAGATCCGTAATATTGCCCTGCAGGTTTGTCGTTAGGTCAGCTAGGCCAGTAATCAATGAGTTGGAGATTGCACTCGACAAATCCTTTCCCAATTGAGTGATATCAGCTAAGAACGCGGCTTTCTTATTGTCGAGTCCGTCTAGTATATCTTTGCCTAGTGCTGCGCCGTTTTTCGTTGCATTAAAAATGCTCTCGAAGAGACTCCTACTTCCATCACCAAGCTTGGACAGTATATCGCCGAAAAAGGAGGACGCGTCTGACGCGTCGTCTGATTCCGTTGAGGATGCGTCATCGGATGCCGTTGGACTTGTGCTCGTTGTCGTGCTCGTGGGATTGTCTTTGATGATACCATCCAGGTCTTTTTCAAGCTTACGCTTATCCTTGGCTAGCTGGTTTATAAGGGCGACTATGGAATCGCTGGCGAACACACCTGCCTCGAGCAATGTGTTTCCCTTCTTCAACAGGATCTTGAGCTCATTACGCGCATCACTGAGATTCTCGATCGCCTCCTCAATGCGAGACCTGCAACGAATAATGCTTAAACCTCTGCAACTGTTCATCGCATCAATTAAATCCTTAGCGTAGCCGGCATATTCGCTGATTTTGTCGTTCAACTTCTGCTCCAACAGGCTCTTTTTAACCTCGAGCTCCTCCACAATGCTGATCAGATTCTGGACGTGGCGATCAACGAGCTGAGTAATCAGTTGACTTGCTTGTGGCACACCGACTCCGTCGGTGCCTTTGTCCACGCGATCCAGTTGCTCATCTCCCCAGCTCAGCAAATCGTTATATGTTTCGTTTAACTGGATGTGCACTTTTTCACCGAGCTTCTGGCTTATATTAAACACTCCGGACTTGAGCTCATCAACCACTGAACTGAGTTCTTCCAGTGCGGCTATTCCATTTTTCAGAGCACCCCTCTTTATGAGGTTCTTTTCTGCATCGATCTCGCCTTTGAAGGCAGTTATATTGCCAACTAAGTCTTGCGATAGGTCCTTCAGGCCTGTCGACAACGCCTCAGAGATTGCGTTCGACAGATCCTCTCCCAACTGGCCGACATCGTCCAAAAACTTGTCGTTGGTACTCTTCAGGTTGTCCAGAAGATTCTTGCCAATGGCAGCACCATCATTGGTGGCCTCCCTAAGTCCTTCGATAATGCTGTTGCCTCCATCCTTTAGATCGCCCCACACATCCTCAAAGATCGCGGAGCTGGGCTTGGCCCAGATGCCCCCAGCGCCTAAGCACAGCGTAAGCAGTAGCAGAGTTCCCTTCATCGACTGCATCTCGTTAGCTGAACTTCCAGTGCATCCTCGGCGCTGCAATTGCCCCCGGCTTTTATATCAAGCGCTGGCCTGCACTGCAAATAAGTGTGTGCGCGGCTTATTTGCATTAATTTTATTATCAAATATTTAAGCAGCTGACACACTCGACGCGGCTATTTGTCCACCTTTGTTCGGCTTGCAATTGAAATTAAGAGGGGGCCGCGGGGTACCATTTGCATGCACATTGCACATGCGGGCAAATGTCGCATCAAATAAAAAACAAAGTTGCGCATTTATGTGATAAATCTGCTGAGTTTAGCAGGCGCAATAAAAATTGAGAAATCACGAAATTGAAAAATCCGATAACGGAATACTCTGTTCGGCTACACAAATAGAATAATATTCTTGACTACAAGATAAAATAAAAAGAAGTATATTGATTTTGTGCGTTGGCCAACCCGACTTCCGTTCCTTCGTTCATGTGAATGAATAGCTAGCTAATAGCTATGTAAGTGCAGGGTATTTGTTAGTCGGTCACTCTCGACGTTTATTAATCCAATTGACAAATTTGATTCCTAATTAAAAAATCAATTCAAATCAGTTAATGCACGGTACCTTCAATAAGTGTAGCAATAAAGTTCGGCTCACCTGATGCGAGGGTATTTTTTAAAAAACGATCAAAAGACTAATAAAACAAAAGATGCAATGATATATATTTGATGGGTCGTCGTGTCATGACAAAGTTTATAATTTGTGCTGCCTGAATTGATTTAATTTGGCCAATTTATGCATGAACAAAATGCGGGTCGGGCTTCTCATGTGAAAGACAAAGACAAACTTTGCTTACGATTTGCAATTTATATGTCCAACAAGGGGGTGGTCCTTTTTATGTCGGTGTCTTGTTTTCTGCATAAATAACAACGCATTCGAGAAATCATAGATGTCCATTACAGCTTTAAAGAGGCTTCCAACTTTAATGGGACAAGCTCTGAATCACACTTAAGACTGTGCGGGATATCATGGTATTTCATCTGACAGAGGGACAATATCAATATACTCCTTTTACTTTGTTTAACATTGTTTCCGGATTAAATAAGTACATATATATAATATTATATATATATAACATCTTGGTTGTATCTGTTCTGCATTTATCGAAACGTCGCATGTCGCTTTTCAAGGTAGCCCCGGGCAACATGTCGCATATGCATTTTATAAGTCCGCTGTTCGTTTTGTTTAATTATGCTGTCATTAAGTTTGTCACACACACACACACATACTGAGATAACATAGGAATACATAGAAAGGCAAGGACAAATGTAAAACAAAAGCTTACATGTCTGAACGCAATTATTGCCGAGTGCCGAACAAAGAGCAACGGGCATTAGACAAGGGGAAACGATGCCCATGGACAGTACTGCAGTGCTTATATACTTTTAATGTGCCTAGATTGGTGGGTATGTGGCCGTGATATCCTGTGTCTGGGTGTCCTTCCGTACCCGTCTGTGCGACAAGTCGCGTGGTCTGTTGGCCACTCTCGGCCAGACATTTCCATTTAATTTGCATTTTCCACTAATTGGCTTGCATACGCTACATTCTCGCTTCGGTTAATTAATTTAATTAGAAATATGTTTTGGCACAAAGAAATGCACAGCCGTTTCCACTGCCCTCTCTCTCTCTCTCTCTCTCTCGTTCTCTGTGTGTCTGATAAATAGTAGAGTATTTGGCGGCTTATCGCAGGGTCCTTTGACACTGCATTTAATGCCAGAAGTATTCCCTTTTAATGTCGATAATTGCTTGCACTCGCTTTTAGGCATATGCATTTATTAATTATTATTATTATTATTACATAGGCCCTAATATTAAATTCAGGAATCTACTCGAAGCCATACAAAATATTATTTTTAAATGGCGTTAGTTACGTTTTATAGACAAATTCAATATTAACGGACGAATTGTGCATAAAAATCGAAATACAAATTAAGAAATAAACTTTACGAGAAGCCACATGGCAAACTTTTAAAACAAACAGTTAATAATTTGGGAGATTTTCTCCAGAGCGTCTCTGTCTCTGTGTTTTATGTGGTTGGCGAACCTTTCCTCTGCATTATACGCGTTTTACCTTTGGTCATCAGAGGAGCTAACGTGCCTGAAATATTGAGGATATATTGATGTAATATATTCATTTAGTATATGTTTTAATATCACAGAAAAATGTTACTTTCGATTTTGTTTATGGGCAGCCTTTTTCTGGCGTCTTTACCTGAATCGCCAAACGCAGCGAACATATGAATCGTGACCTCTTTGCACGCTGACCAAGCTATGAATTCATGGTCCTCTGTAAATGAGGTTTGGGCATGCTTTTATGTATTTTTTGCTGACCTCAGTCCTCGGAATGAATGGCCAGCCATTGAGTCTGGAGCCTGGAGCCTGAAGCCTGCAGCCTGGAGCCTGCACGGTGATGCTGCCATGGCATGGCAATCGCGGCCATTAAGTCATTTTGTTTCCTGTAACATTTCCGGTATCTTTTTAGTAAACTCGCGGCCTGAGTGGTGCTGCTGGTCTGCTCCAATGAGCTGCTCTGCAGGTCTGCAAAATGCTTTTAAAGTAGGTGGCTGCTTGTTCAATTTATTGCTCCGCCAAATGTATTGTTGTTGTCCTCACAGCCGTGGCTAGCCAAATGCAACTGCCTTTCAAATTGCACAGCATAAAGTGTTGCCTGAAATCAACATGCCCTCAGCACAGATAAAATTGTGTAAAAACTTAACATTAATGACATGCCTCGCTGCTTAAATGGAGCAAATGAGCACAGCAGATGGCACATCTTTGAATATATATTATTTGGAAATAAGAGTTTCTAATATAATACAAGTTTTAATAGATCTTCTTTCGGGCTTCCTTCCCTCTCTCTGCCTTTTTCGTCTTTAAAATTGAATCGTTTAGCTCGTCATATGTACCTAGGTATATTTAAAAATTATAGCGGGCTAGAGGGAGAGTACGATAAAGAAGATAAAATGTTCAAAATATTATAGATTTGACATAGATTTTTTTGATTGCCAATACAATTCCTTAACAAAGCATTCAGATTCGAAGTATTTAAACCTGCAAGTCCTACTCGATCTATGAGAATCGCATGGTAAGGCGACATCAAAAACAAAACATTTTGCTAAAACCTAAGTTTAACCCAAAATTATTTCAAGAACATTTTAATTTCATAATCGGCAGAGCTAGCTACCAAACATTTTGATAATTAAAGTGACGTTAGGTAATGAAAAACTATGTAGGGGTAAGAACCTTGTTGTGATAGTGCCAGAAAGGCGCCTCCAAAGGCTGCACCCCTGCGATTTAACAACGAGGCGAATCTTCATCATTGTGGATATAGCATTTAAGCCTACAAGTTTTTATGAAGGAAGCCCTTTTAATGTGTTTCGTTTCTGCTGTTCGCACAATCAAATTTAAAAGCTTACCTTTCCACATTTTCACAATGTTCGCATGAGGAATTTTAACACTTGGCTGAGTAGTTTCCTCACCTAAAAACTTTGAGTATGATATGCTAAATATATGCATAATTTTATCAAGAGAGTATCGGAATAAACATATCAATACAACTTATGCACATGCATCCATTTTGATGGAACCACAAAATCAGAGCGGAATGCCGTCCAACTCCCCTCTGACAGTTGCCTTTGCGCACACTCAATCACTTAAGCGGCCCGACAGCTGCATACGCATAACGGGCGAATGCCCACAAGTCTTCAAAAATGTTGTTTATCTTTTTTCATTTTTTATTTATCTTAAGAGAGAGAAAGAGAGAGAGAGAGAGGGCGAGCTGCCATAAAGACTAATTTAAAAGCCTTCGTAGAAATCAGAGCGAAACGCGTGCACAGATTGCTGTGGAATGTTTTCATACACCTTTGTCTAAGTGAATTCAGCCAACAGTAAAAATATGTGTGCATTATTTTGCATATGCCGGAAGGCAAGCCAGAACTCAAGCCCAAGCCCAAATCCAAATCTAAAACCTAGGAGAGGCAGCAACAAGAGCATACGCCGCGTTGCCCATACGCCGCGTTGGTCGGACGAGGCCAGTGCATGCTGTGGCCCCTTGGCGCACATGAGGCAGATTTAGTGAGCCAGGTTTTTATCTTGTCGCGCTGCTCTGTGCTGCTTTGGTCGCTTTGGGGATCAAGCAGCAGCAGCAGCAGCAGGTACGAGTGGCAGCAGCATTTGTTCATATGAAAATGCTCGACGCGCATTCTCTTTGCCACACACACACACAGACACACACACAGAGCTCTAACTGTATTGCCTGGCAATCCCATCTACAACTATGTTACCTCCAACCTGCTCCTGCATCTCCTTCTCTCCGCCTGCTAAATGTGTAACGGCAGTCACTTAGCGCACTCCTTCTTGCCCTTTAGCCACCGCTCCATGCGGTCGTTACTTCATTGGCACAATCCCCAGACTCAGGCTGCTCGACTGCACCACGGTTCGGCGTGTGTGTTTGGTTGGGTTGGTTTCATTGTTTTGCTGTGCTTTTATTTAGTTTTTATTTTTTCGCCACGTATTTCCCTTTAATGCGCTGCGGATTTGCTGTGAAATATGCCAGCACAGAGACCCAAACACACGAACTGGGCGAGTGTGAAATGTGTGTGCCCCTATCTGGCTACAATCCCGGTTGGCACTGCGGCCCAGCACTTTTATGGTAATTAAGTTTATGCTAATTTAACTTATTGCCACTAAGTTGGCCCACATATGCGGCCAGCCGCAAATGCTGCTTTCGTATTCCCGTATTCGGATTCGGAATCGGAATATGCTGCGCGTGCCGCCTTTTGTCGTCTGGCATTGAAAATCCATTAAAATGCTATACTAAATTGAAATCCATTCAGTCCAAAGTTATTTATTTAATTAAATGCAACATACTACACCAGAAATAAGTTGCTAACGCCGATAATCTACATTATGAAAATGTCCTTGTTGCACACTGCGTATACTTGACATTTCATTTCCCCCTTTTACTGCTTTTCCATTCGTATATATATATATGTAAATATA